GGTAGTAAGTGAACCAAGGCAGCAGACACTGCCGCTGCTGCCGCAGCAGTCCACAAAGCTTCTCCCATTTCTCTTCGACATTGGTTTTCGAGATGTTGTTAAAGATGGAGTCAATTCTATTGCAGATGACTTCTTTGAAGGCCTCATATGGAATGTACTCCTGTCTTACTATTCCGGGTGCCGGCTGCTCATTTTCCAATAAATGTGAATTTGGCAATCAGCAAAGTTGAAGCCAAAGTTAACAACCAAATATAAAACATTTGTGAAAGCGTATTTAGAAGTTTGCTGTGTGTTTTAAAAATTCAGCGGTTCCAGTCGACAAGGAGCAAGTGACGTGATTTCGGGTGGCGTAAAATTCAACCGATTTATTAGTACACAATTGGCACTAGTGTACAGAAGCATAAGTAGTCAGTTTATTTGCGAGAGCTTAATATTGATGTTCAAAACGAACATTCCTGCGCAAACAGCATTCAAGTAGATAACCCGATTTCGTGTTTGCAAATGCCTGCTCACGATACTTACTCACTGGTCACCTTGACTTTATTCTAATCTTGCAAGGATTCACGATTTGAGGTGCTGATAGGAGACCCTTGACCACCGGTTGTACCCGAGGTTGTAGCACCTAGGTAGCAGTCAACGACACACGCAATGAGGGCACTGATTATCGTGAGGCGCTGGCCGTAGAGGGAAATTGTGGGAAACAGTGACTGCTGCTGCTTCTGCTGATGTCGCTTTAGTGGCTGCGTGTGTTGCTAAAGGAAGTTAAGAAAGCTTATTCGTAAATTGGGTGTGCAAAGCGAAGACAGCCTACCAACTGCTCAGTGTGCACTGCGTTGGTGTTGTTTGTTCGGCATTTCCTAGACAGGTCTTCTCCAGAATTTAACGACCTTCCATTTATCACTATCATTTGAGTGTCTGCACGTTGACGTAATTTGATGCGACGCACGTTTCTCTGTGTTACGGGTGGCTTCGTGAAGCTCGGCACCTCGGCATCACCGGATTCCAGTTCATCGAGCGCATCACAGTCTGCTTGCGGAAAGTGCACTAACAACTTAAAGTCATGGTTAGGGATGGATATAAATTCTCGAATTTTTGCTGCAGATCGTGCCTTTGATTTTGCAGTCCCTTGATGGCAGTCACAAAGGCCTCTGTCGTGCGTTCATGTCAATTTTGCAAGATCGATCGACAGGAATGTACACCTAATGCCGGCAGGAGTTTGATCTCAATTGTTTGAGATTGCATCAATGAGCTTCTTACTGACCGCGAGGACATCACAGCTCCTATCCCAAATTTCCATCTAGCAGAGCATTGTGGCAACCGTAGTCTCTGACAATGATAATCTAAC